TTCACCTTCTGGCCTTTGCTTTGCACATTCCAACCTAAATTCTTTCAAGAGGTTAATGTACATAATTTCATGCATGCTTGTAAGCATTGAATTAGATGTTTGTACTAATAAAGATCATTAAATTTTGGAATTCCTTACTTGCTCTCTCTGAGCTTGCTCTATTTGTTGGCAGTAGCAGTTTTTATATTCTTCTTTAACTTGGGTATTTCTGGAAGAAAGAAAAATCATTACATCTTCTCCTGGGAGTATGATGTCTGCAAATCCTGACAGTAAATTAGTCAGTGCTTAAGTAGACTGAGCTTTAGAAATGTCTGCTCATCAATCATTTCAAAGACAACAGAATTCCTAGGTTGAAAACTGAGGGGGAAACAACTAAACTTAAAAGTATCAAAAATGGGTGTCTCAGTTACGGTCAATGGTTAAAATTTACCACAGGACTGAGTGAGGAACTGCAGTGAACCCTTGCTCAGAACGCAACATCTCGTAGCAGGTAGAGAAACTTCCTTCTTAAACCCCAGGCATGGGAAATGGTTTCTCTTCCTTTTTAAATTAACAGACCATTTGTTCTGCTCAAAGTTTTAGGTCTGCAAACAGTTTCAATGACCAAGAAGCTTTTGCTTCTTTTACACCCTTTCCCTGTTTTACTTCATTTCTTTAGATAGTGTTGACTGTTTCAGTGAATATTAAACACAGGGGGAAAGCATTTTTCATCTTGGAGGCTATAGATCATCACTGTGATATTTTAGATGTTTCATTGATAGTAAATGTTTTCCCTCATTCTCCACTGAAATCTGAGTTTGAGTGAATGCTTGTGAAAGTAGAGCAGACGAAGTGCCAGACCTCTCTGAATCCCTGAAGGGCTGAATTGCATGCTTAATTGGGTTCCATGGATCAAGCTATTGATTTGGAGTATGTAGTGTTTACAGTAAAATATTGATTTGGAATATGTAATGTCTACAGTACCATATTGATTAATGACATTGAGAAGCTTCTAGAGAACTAAAATGAAAATGGAAAGTGATTTTTACATTGTCTAAGTACTGTTTTTTTCATTAAGTGATTGTCACAGCCTTTATTTGATCAGGAAAAAAATGCTTCTGTTTATTCCTTATTTCCCCAGTGTCTAGCTCAAGTGAACACAGAGATTAAGGATTTTAAGTGATAAAGGATGGACAAGCAGTTTTTGAGTAATTGCTTCTTGTGACTTAGACAAACAATTGTAGTTGTCCATGTTGAAGAAGTTGTGGCTGCAACTAGAAAGATTTTTTTAAAAACTTTTAAAGACTGGAGTCTTAGATCTTACAATGTGAGGGACAAGATTAGACCAGATGGACTTGATCACAGTAAATGCTTGCCTCCCAGAAACGCTTGGCATCTTTTTAAATAAAGCTGTCTGAAGTGCTTTGAAGTGCTGTGAGTCAGGGTCGTGAAGAGGCTTATCTACCTAAGTAACTAAAAATAATAGTTTACAACTGTTACTGTCTACAAAGTACTTGATTAGGAATTTTGGAAGAACCAAGTTCAGATGCAGTAGCTAATTAAATTTCACTCTAGTCTTTCTTCTCCATATCTTAGGTCAAAGCTGACTTAGGGCTTGTAGTAGAGCTCACCAAATATCAGAACCTCTGTTTATCGGAAAAACAGAATTATGAGCTGACAAGGGGCAGCGAGGAAAGCATTGGGTGTTAGCAGTTCATCAGCCAGCATGGCTGCAGTTAAAGTGTATACCAATTGTTTCAGCTTCTAGGCCAAACTATGAGTTGCTAAAATCACAGAGCAGGCTTTTTCTTCAAACAGAATTTTTCTGGCTCTACTTTTCATACCGATATTTTAATTTCAAGGGAAATTATAGGAATATTCATTGTACTTTGTAGCAGATGATTATTGTTTCACGGGTATTGTTGTGGGTGGCACAGCCCAATGTGATAAATAATTCCAGCATAGGAAAGCCTCCACTGTAATGTAAATTAGAACTGATGTGCATAAACTCAGTTCTGTGATAGGAAATGTATAGCAACATCTTTGTCTGTAGATGGATCTAAGCAGCCTTTTAAACACCATGCCAATACTTGTAAATGGTGTTTGAAGTCTGGTTAGTATATACTACAATAAGTTATTGCTCTTTCCTTACTATAATCATTGGAAAATTACTGTTCATTCTTATTTTACCCTTTGTCTGCTAGTTATTTAAATTGGGGATTTGGTAATCATTATTTAAAATGAATCTGTTGTTGGCTGTTGTTATACATTATTAGCTTTTCTGTGTAGAAATAAAACTGTCTTATCAGCAGGCCTACTGAACTACCATTATACTTCACTAAACAGGCTATTTGTAACCAAGTTATACCTGTGAAAACTGATTTCCTGTAGGTTGCCTGCAAAGGGAGGGAACGTTTCTGAGTTGTGACAAAGATCAGCACACTGATCGTAGCTCAGGGAGCTATGAAACAAAACAGCACGCTAGGTATTTTCTTTTTTCCACTTGTTTAGGAGTATGACTATCAGACTTGTGGCGAGCTAGCTCTTGCAAGCAAAACCTAGGAAAGGAAGTTCATTGTCTCTTTCTGAAGTCTCAACTTTACCCCCGCTTCCTCTAGCTGTGTTGCTGATGGAGGAGTTGCTGAGCAATTATTTCCTTTTCCCACAAAGTGCACAAATACCCTCCTGGTCTTCGCAGCCCACTAGGTTCTACTTCCCCTCATGCTTGCAAGCAGTGACAATGATCTGGCCTTTTGATCTTTGCACCACAAGTGCGCTCTGACATTTTTCCACCCCATGTATTTTTCCATTTTATTGCTGTTTCCATTAGCACTTCGGCTCAGAAGCTTTGATCCCTCATGCCTCTTTAACTTTATTACTTAATTGTGAATAGATATGTTGACCTACTTCTTTCAGAAATGAGCTGGTACTGGATAATGTTTTAAAGGAAAATTTGGTGGACATGATCCCTTTTTTACTCCATTCCTAATGATTCTTGTTTAAATGCAGGTAGACAGAACCTGATGAAGTGGAACAGGCTGTTAGATCTCTTGTGCAAGTTGCATGCACCCACGTTCCACCATCAGACTCCAGACTTTCACCAGTTAGCACTGACTTCCAGTCTGTTTGTTGTTAAAATGGCTTCAGATACAACATCCAGTTCCAAATCCAGTGTAATTTTCATAGTTATTTTTAATTTTTGTGTCTGGAGTTTCATCACTCTTCTTTGTGTAAATAAATAGAAGGATGACCAACTGATCAAATGGTTATACAGCAAAAACAGCAAAATGGGCCATATGAAAAATAATGCCAAATAGATTAAGTGGGGGAGGGGAAGATGTTTTTGCTTTGTCTCTCAGCTGTGACCACCTTGGTTGTTTATAAAGTGAGAAAGAAAGAAGGTCCAAGAATCTTTAAAGGATTGTTTTGAAATAGTATGTGAAATATCCTTTGATGTTTGAGCTATGTGATATACTTACAGAAACGGGACTGTAAGTTCTTAGTTTCTTTACATCCTTCTCAAGTTTATTTCCAGAGTATCTATCATGGCATTTGTCCAAATAAAAACTATTGAGTTAGAAAAGAGTTGCAATCCCAGTCCTGCCATCTCTGGTGAAACTTGCATAATGTCAATTTCTCTGATGTACATAGCATATGTTCTGGTAATTGCCACATAAATGCCAGTGATTTCAAAGACCTTCTTAATGTGTTATAATTTGGCCACTAATGTCTTGCTAGTGTCAAATATTTTAAATAAAGGGCAAAGGAAACTTGGAATTTCTTTTTACTTTTTCTGCGTTGTAGAGATGCAGGTCACAAATGTCCAGTAGACAACGAAATTCTTCTCGAAAATCAACTTTTTCCTGACAACTTTGCTAAACGGGAAATCCTTTCGTTAACGGTTAAGTGTCCCAACAAGGGCTGCAGTATGAAGATGGAGCTGAGGCATTTAGAGGTGAGAATTAGTTTTGAAAATATGGAACCTTGTTTTCATGGACAGGTAAAAATTCTAAATAACTTAATATAGATGGTCATACCTGATACCTGTTCATGCTGATTCAGTGCATTGTTCATTCAAGACTATAGCTACATGTTGGGTTTTGGTGAGTCTTTAATTAGGTGATTCTCAAGTCAGCGTTGTAGTGTATGGAAATTGTACTAACACAGCTTTGTCTTTAGCATCATTTGTGTTTGTCTTTTGATCAACTCTATCTGTACTTTACACAAGTTCCCTAAAGTGAGTTTAATATTCTCTCAAAGCAGCTAGATTTATTAGTTGAAGAAATTATTTTGAAAAATAATACAGAAAGTTAAAAGGATAAACTTAAAGCTGAATTTATACCTGCATTCTTAAAGCTCTGAATACATGAAGTCCTGATGTTTGTAGTGGGATAATAACAGGCCATTGGTAAACTCAGCATAAGTGCATATGGATAGGCTTGCATGAAGGAAAGATTGCAATTTGTTCTCTTGTACTGTGCTTTATGTTGAAAACAGATGAAGGCAATAGTACCTTTTGGTAGTATCAAATCCCTCTTTTATTCTTGTTCAGGACCACCAGTCACAGTGTGATTTTTCCACTGTGGAATGCCCACAGTGCCAAGGAACCTTCCAGAAGAACCATCTGAAAGAGCACATTACACAAGAGTGTCCAAGGCGTCAAGTCTGTTGTCCAAACTGTGCTACATCTATGGCCTATGAAGTTAAAGAGGTACTTAGCCGGAGTCTCAGTTTTTCAACCTTCATTCACATGGGTTTACTTGTAAATAGAACATCAGTTTTTAAAATTTAAAAAAAAAAAAAAAAAAAAAAAGGTTTTGGTCTAAAAGATCTCTTTGTGCTGCACAGGTGAGAAGCAACAAACTCAGGACATTAGTCTAGAACAGACTGGGGAGAGAATTGTGCTTAAATACAGACTTCTTGGGAACCTTGTGGTGTGAAAAGACTTGTGTAAGAACCATTGATTTTTGGCCTTACCATCAAAGAGGCTGGTATCTACTGCCAAAGTAACACACAAAGCAATATTTACATTTACAGTTTTTATGCCTGGCAGAAAGGATGTGTCAGGAGATGCATCTTTTGGCAATACCTGTTAACACACAAGACCATGATCATTTCTGAATTCTTCTCCTGGCTCTGCATTTTTTACTTGGGTGATACTAAGGATAGTCCTTTCCTTTTTGAGCTTCTATTTCTTTATCTGTATATGGATGTGTTTTATCTCAAGGGCTATTAATTTTATGATACCATATTGTGAATTGGCAAACAGAAATACCTCATGTAGTCCAACAATACAAAAAAAACTTTAATATAGTTCCACTACAATTGAACATGAATTTCAGAAACTTCTGGATAAATTCAGACTCCTTTGGAGCATAAGAGCTTTAGGAAATAAAATATCTCCAACTTTTTGAATCTCTTGTATGAGTCCAGGAAAAAACAATAATTATAGAAAGCATATTATTCAGGTAAGGGGATTGTCTTTGTTTCACAGTTGCATACAGCTAAATGCAAAATTTGAAATGTAAATATAAATTTAATGTCTTACCAGAGGTGATTAGCACTCTCTTAAATTGTGTAACTTTATTGATTCTTTCTTTCCTCTCTTTTTCTCTGTTTGATAACTAAGCTTCATGACCAAACTTGCCCACTGGCCAATGTATTTTGTGAATATTGCAATACAGTGCTCATCAGAGAGCAGGTAAGAGACCACCTTTCTCTGTGTTTAATCTGGGTCAGATGTTTTGTATTTATATTGCTTCTTTAATCTGAAATTAATCTTGAAGAAAGTTTGTTTACTAGCTAATAAATATCTGCCTGTCTCTCTCTGAAATGTTGCATCCTATACAGGTGTAATACTCTTTTAAATGCTGCTCCAGCTTGCAATTGCAGTCTGGTAAAGCTCTGTAGGATTTTTGGCTGCAAATCACGTTGTTTAGCTATACTGCTTCTTGACAGGGGGCATCCTGCATGTTTTTGATCTTGAATGGAAGTTAAAGCATACCAAACAGCTGCCAGTGGTTATGGCTGACATTAGAAGACAAGGCTTTGATTTGGGCAGAGAGGGAGAATATGTGCAATTGGAAAGCCACTGCTGAAAATTAGCTATAAGTAATTCACTGTCAAATTGTAGATGCTGACTGGAATTCTACTTGCCTATTACTATTGTAATAGTCATTAGTATTTCTTCAATAATAACTTACTTCATTGACAGGAAAATGATAAACATTATTTAATTTGCACCCTATCCCTGTTTGAATGCAATGGCAACTATGTTAATGACCTGGCTTAAAATAAAGAATGATCTTGTCAAATGGGAGAAATACTCTGAAAAACTGATTGAATTCAGTAATGACAAGGGCAAAAATCTGTTGTTGGGTAGAATAATGAACTGCAAAAATAGGGAACAGAGAATGCTAACTTAGGTACTGGCTTAGAATCAATGGCTGACCTTTAGCTTATGTTTTACTTTATCATGATATTTAAATAAGGCAAACATACTGGGTTGCATAAACAGGTATTTTGCCTGTGAAATCTAGGATTATCCTTTGTTCTGGTTTAGGGCTCGTAAGGCCTCAGCTGAAGCTGTCCAGCTTTTGAGATGGGGATGGATAGGGAGGATTCAGAGCAGTGAGATAATTGGGTCTGGAAAACACAGCCCGTAAGAAAAATTGAAGTAACTTGGGGTTTTTGAGGAAAAGCATAATGAAGAGAGACAAAAAGGCATATGGAAGTAGTGCCTTAGAAGGGAAGGAAATGGACTGTGATCTAGGTTGAGGATAGGCTAGAAACAAAAGGCATTTGTTCTAGCAAGAAAACCTAAATGATTTCTGATGCCTAATGTAAGAACGAAGGCAATGAATTGTTAAAGTACATAGAAGGAGGATGTATCATTTTTATCCTCATCTAACATTTTTGTTCAAAACTCCATATTTCTTTGACAAATTGTATAGATATAAACTGATCTGAATTCAGGTACCTGTTGAGAGTCCATCCAGCCATATTCTTTGAGGATGTTATAAAAGAATACTCTTGATGGAAAAATTAATTTCAAATCTGATTTGGTTTAGATGCCTAACCATTATGACAATGATTGTCCTACTGCTCCCGTGCCATGTTTTTACAGTGCCTTTGGGTGTCCTGAAAAGGTAAGCCTTTTATCAGAATCATGAATTGCAGACCACCTGCATGTTTTTGTTGAGGTTTTTTTTAATGTTTTACTATTCTTGTCTCATTTACCAGCCCAAATCCTTAGTCATTTGGTTTGTTTGGGTTTTGTTTAGATTTTTGTTTGTTTGTTTTGAAGTATCTTAATTCTAAAACACTACATGTGGATACATTGCCTTTCAAAAGTAATTTTAAAATTGAAAAACTCTGTGCATTATGTGCTTAGTGAACTTGCTTTTATTAATCCATGAGTGTTTTCTCAGCTTTCATGTCAATAAAGTAGTTTCTAGAATTTCTTCCAAAGTTGTGAACAAATACATTTATGGCTCTTAAGAGTTCAGTGAAGAAAACCTGACAGTGCTTTAAATTTGATTAAATTCTAAAATTCTTTAATCTGGATACTCTTATTTCTAGTCATTTAATACCTCTTTGAAAGAATGGATCTTTTCCCTGCATCGTTTCCACATCAGTTTTCATACACCTTTGTATTTGGTACTGTGGAGCATTTCAGCAAATCAATGAAGGGAATACAATGCTGATTTAAACACAGAAAAATACTAAAAGTGTGTTTATCACTAACACTTTTTCACCCTGTCACTATTTTGAGTTGAACAGTATTTGTCCACTGGCATTTGAACTTCTTTTTTCATTTGTTATAACAGTGATCTTAAATTTGGAGCCCTGCATTGGTAAAGTGCTACTTTGTCACATCACCTGTCCTTGATTCACATTTCAGTTTTTCTCACATAAGAGAAGCAACTAGTTTGTTTGATTTTCTTCAGAGCTACATTTAAGATGTAATTGCAGGTAATTGTTGATATGTTCCTAATACCACATCTCTTAAATTCTAGATGCAAAGGAATGAACTGGCACGACATATGCAGGAGTTCACTCAGGTTCACATGAGAATGATGGCTCAGAGTTTTCAAAATATCAGCGTTACTGCTACAAATCCTGTACCCTTCATCAATGGCCTACCCTTTGACCCTGCCCTCTTTTCACATGTGTCACATGCCACGTATGATTGTAATCCAGAAGTTGAAAACTTCAAAGAAACTATTCAGCAGTTGGAAGGTCGTCTGGTAAGACAAGATCACCAAATCAGAGAACTCATTGCTAAAATGGAGACTCAGAACACTCACATGGCAGAACTCAAACGTACTATCCGAAATTTGGAGGGAAGGATTACTGAAATGGAGGCACAGCAATGTAATGGTATTTATATCTGGAAGATTGAGAACTTCAGTGGACTTCAGAAAGCCCAGGAAGAAGAGAGACCTGTTGTGATGCACAGTCCTGGCTTCTATACTGGAAAGCCTGGCTACAAGCTGTGTTTGCGCCTGCATATCCAATTACCAAATGCTCAGCGTTGTGCTAATTTTATATCTCTGTTTGTCCACACTATGCAAGGAGAATATGACAGCCATCTGCCTTGGCCTTTCCAAGGCACTATACGACTTTCTATTTTGGATCAGTCAGAAGGCCCCGAAAGGCAGAATCATGAAGAAGTAATGGAAGCCAAGCCAGAGTTACTAGCCTTCCAGAGACCAACAATTCACCGCAATCCAAAAGGTTTTGGTTATGTGACTTTCATGCACCTGCAAAACTTGAAACAAAGAACCTTCATAAAGGATGATACCCTTCTGGTGCGCTGTGAAGTTCTAACACGTCTAGATTTAAACAGTCTCCGCAGAGAAGGATTTCAAGCTCGCAGCACTGATGGAGCTATGTAGTCTGTAAGTCTTAACCAGAGGAATGGAGCCGCTAGTCATGTTCTTCCACGACAGATTACAAACGTGCTTCATCATCCATATAGGCTGCATTTGTAAAAGATCATAGTTGCCAACATAGTTGATCTTCACCTGAATAGAACTTTGTTGCTGATATTCTTTTTTTCTGTATGAGGTCATGTGTTCAAGTATTTGGTATTGTTCTCTATTAAAGTAATAAGCTACTTCTGTAGCAAGCTAACTAAATGAAGTGTTATGTATCAAAACTGCCTACAGGAGAATCCTGTACATCTCACTTTGGTAAAACCTAAGTCATATCAGAAAAGACCTGTAAATCTTTTTGCCTTGGTGACTTGGGCTATAGATACTGTAGCAGGGAAATAGCTAAATTAATAAAGATGAAGGGGGTTTTGTTTGTTCGGTTTTTTTTCACAGAGCTTGGGAAAGTTGAGATAGTTGCTATATTAACTTACCTAGAATTTTGAATTGGCTATGCTTCTCTTGAAATCTGAAGTCAAGTTAAAACTTTGCTCGCGTCATCTAGGGTTGAGGTATGCTTTGACCCTTCCCTCCTGCAGTTAGCTTCAGGAAGTTGCATGTTGATGCAGAGTTGATACTAGTATTTGTGAAAGACATGGTAGTGTTGTGGAGAAGGTTAAATGACTCTGAGCTGAGTTCACTGAAGAAATATTTGTAATGTGGTCTGAAAGCGCCCCCCTAATTCTCTTTATTTTGATAAATCTTTTTGTAAGAGTGTGCTCTGGGCCCAGAATGTCAATCACCATCACCAGAGAGATAAAAGTGTAGCATTTGAATGAGATACCTTTGTGCTGGTGAGATCTCCTCCTAGTGCTGGACATGCTTCAGGTTGTGAGTGGATACATGAGCAAAGGCATGTACTAACTAGATAGGGAGATGCAGAATTTGTTTTATTGTTGCTGAAACCTGAATTTGTACCAAAGCTGAACTTGTGACCTGCATCTGTTCAAATGATCTGTTGGTGTTCTGGGTGATGTATGACCTATGTTGTCTCCTATGAACATAGGCCATATCAACATCCAGCTGTCATATTTCCTGTCCCTTTAGACAATAGGAGCTGAGCCACTCTCAACGCTTTGGAGGGGAAGAAAAGTCTATTAATTAGTGTGAGGAAAAATCGTAATCCTGTTTGCTCTTAGGAAAAAAATCTGGCTTCCATAGTTACTCATTTATCAAACACTAGATTCACTACGTAAAGAATTCATGAGCTTCCTAATGTTGCATGTTATTGTTTTCTGTACTGATTGTTTGTATGCCATATAAATGTTAGTTTTGACCAGTCAAAGCTGAGTAGTTCAAGTTCACTGGTGCTAAAAATTTTAACTTTTCATGGTGCTGATAAAGTTCTGAATCTTATCTTTAGAAGGAGGGAAGAAAAAAGTTTTGTTCATCCCATAATTTAAGTACACGGTCTGATACCGAAGAAAGACCTAAGCTATAAATAAGTATATGTATATGATTTCTCCAATCTAGTGAAAAAGCCTAAAGACTTGAGACACTGCAACTTAAAAGATACTGAAGAGTATTCCAACTAGTTGTCCTCATCAAAGCAATCCCATCAGGATCATCAGAGGGGAAAGTGCATATGCTTAATATATGCAAGACTAATGAAAGACTACCATAGTATATTGATTTGCGAGGATACTCTGCCTGCTGGCATGAGATTTAAAATTCCAGGACCCAACCTATGACTTTGTTCATCATATTCAGATGAGTAAAATTTATTTTGCAGATAGAGCCCATTAGTTGAATAGGGATTGTGTTTAATGGCATATTGTCACTACTGAAACATGAACTTCCTGGCTAATGGTAAATACGGTTGTTGACTTATTTAGTGCATTCTGTGTGTTTAGAGGACAGTTGAAGCATATATTACTCAAAATAGGAAAAGATCCAGTCTTTAAAACTATCTTTTTTAAACCCCTTAAGTAGTTTTTATACTGAATAGCCTCATCCTATTAGCTGAATTGTTTTGGAGTGTGTTCAGTTAGAGCATTCCTGGTAGTTAAACTATTCTTAACCAAGAGCTTTTAATGTACGTGAGAGTGCCCAGACTCACTGTACACAGAAGGCACTGTACACTAGTTCCCCAATCATTTTCAAGCTATGTTAGTTCTTCATGTTTTTCCAAGATGCTCAGACTACCATTCTCCTTTTTTTTTTTTTCTTTTTTTTTCAGGGGGTGGGGGTGGGGGCAGAAGAAACACTTGTAATTTGAGAGCTTCTTCCTGCCACAGTTCCTTTCTCAACCTGACTGATGTTAACAAAAATGTCCTTATTCTGTGTTCTAATACTTTATACCCAAGACCCACTAAGTGCATTAATATTCTTTCCTTTTCAAGCTTTGCATTATGAACTGAATTTTTGCTTTGAGCCTTATCTGCTAGATCTGATATACTTCTGCCTTGGGAGGAAACTCAGTCTGGTGGCAGGTTCAGGAGTTTAAATGATTCAGGTTAATATTGTACAATAGCAGAAACCAATAGGGAATAAAAAGCTACTGCATGTATAATACTGTATTGGCCACAGTAATATGAATGCTTTATTCACTGCTGCTATTCTACTGGTTTTGTATTTTAATATTACCAAGTAGAACTCTGAGTGATGCCAAATTACTGTAATGCCAGAGTTTTACATGAGAGACTTTCAGAGCTAATTTGCTAAGTATCAGTTAAATCTTTGTGATGAAAAATTATAAATGTTAATGAAATGTTTATTAATCTACTTGTTCCATTTTCCTCTTTCTTCCCCCACCTTCCAAGCTACTCTTCATTTGGCTTGAACATGTTTTAAGTCAGCCACTCTTAGTATGTGTATTTGCAAAGCTACTATGGCACAAATTTTCCAATTATAATATATTGCAAATGTTATCTTTTTGCCTCTGAATGTCTTCCCCTGCAGGGCAGGGAAAATTTTACTAAAAATGTTGGTATGTAATGTATATGTGGGAGCTCAGATAATGTGAGATGTATAGACTTGTTTTTTAAGTGGTCTCATGATATGCCTGATCATGTTTGCTATCAAGAGATTAAACTTGCTAAAGAAATAAAATCAGGGTAGCTTTTCTGTTCTTATTTAGAGACACTTTCACATCAAATACATTGATGATGAATCCAAAAGATTATTCTGGGGTCAATGTTAGAAGTGTGTATTGGTTTGCATTGAACAGAATGAAAGTACTCCTGTTCCCTTGGAAGTATTGATAGATTGTTTAATATATTTTGTAATTAAAGCACACCTATATTTCTGATAGGATTTTTAAAAATAAACTAATGAAACTGTGCACTGTATGTTCCATCTTTATTCATATGGAGGGTTATTCAAAAAGATTAACTGATACAGAACCTCTGTGGTAGTTCTGTCTTGTGGGTTTCAGAGTTGGCTGAGGTGGGTTTCATGAAGGAGACTATGTATCATATAGCACCAAGGCGGTAAAAAATATATTTCAAGATAAACTTCTGGCATTTATAAAGGGTAGCAATAGTTTTATGCATTACTAGAAGACATAGCTAGTATAATTATAATAAACTAAGTGTTCTCATGATCATCCTGTTATTTAAGGTACACCTCTGAAATACCAAAGAATTCTAGAAAGGTTTGGGTTAGAAGGGACCTCAAAGTTCACCTAGTTCCAACCCCTTGCCATGGGCAGGAACACCTTCCACTACACCACGTTGCCCAAAGCCCCATCCAACCTGGCCTTGAACATTTCCAGGGAGGAGACATCCACAACTTCTCTGGGCAACCTGTTCCTGTGTCTCACCACCCTCACAGGGAAGAAATTCTTCCTAATATCTAATCTAAATCTATCTTCTTTCAGTTTAAAACCATTACCCCTTGTCCTATCACTCCATGCCCTTGTAAAAAAGTCCCTCTCCAGCTTTCCTGTAGGCCCCCTTTAAGTATTATAAGGCTGCAATAAGGCCTTCCCCGGAGCCTTCTCTTTTCCAGGCTCAACACCTCCAACTCTCTCAGCCTGTCCTCATAGGAGAGGTGCGCCAGCCCCCGATCATCTCCGTGGCTCTCCTCTGGATGCACTCCAACAGGTCCATGTCTGTCTTGTCCTGGGGACCCCAGAGCTGGGCACAGTACTCCAGGTGGGGTCTCACAAGAGTGGAGTAGAGGGGCAGAATCACCTCCCTTGACCTGCTGGTCATGCTTCTTTTGATACAGGCCAGGATACAATTGGCTTTCTGGGCTGCAAGTGCACATTGCCGGCTCATGCTGAGCTTCTCATCCACCAACACCCCCAAGTCCATCTCCTCAGGGCTGCTCTCAGTCCATTCTCTGCACAGCTTGTACTTGTGCTTGGGATTGCCCCGACCCATGTGTGGGACCTTGCACTTGGCCCTGTGGAACTTCGTGTGGTTCGCTTGGGCCCACTGCTCAAGCTTGTCAAGGTCCCTCTGGATGGCATCCCTTCCCTCCAGCATGTCGACCGCACCACACAGCTTGGTGGTGTTGGCAGACTTGCTGAGGGTGCACTCGATCCCACTGTCCGTGTCGCCAACAAAGGTGTTAAACAGTGCCAGTCCCAATAATGACCCCTGAGGAACCCCACTCGTCACCGTTCTCCACTTGGACATCAAGCCATTGACCACAATACTTTGAGTGCGACCATCCAGCCAATTCCTTATCCAGCAAGTGGTCCATCTGTCAAATCCATGCATCTCCAATTTGGAGATAAGGATGTTGTGTGGGACAGTGTCAAATGCCTTGCACAAGTCCAGGCAGATGATGTCAGTCGCTTTTCCCTTATCCATCAATGCTGTAACCTCATCATAGAAGGCCACCAAAGTGAAACCATGTTGGCTGTCACCAATCGCCTCCTTATTTTCCATGTGCCTCAGCAGAGTTTCCAGGAGGATCTGCTCCATGATCTTGCTGGGCACAGAGGTGAGACTAACTGGTCTATAGTTCCCCAGGTCTTCCTCTTTTCCCTTTTTAAAAATGGGGGTTATGTT